CTTCTGCGGGTCGCCCCCAATCTTCATGCAGCTGCGGTCGAGCAGGCCTTTGTTCTTCACGTGGTCAACGCGCTGCTGCCGAAGGAGCCCCAGGTAGCGGCTCTTCTTCCGAATGTCTGGGCTCGCGTCCATCCGCGCGAGTAGTGGGTGACGTTTCTGCGATCTGTCCGTCTACGTTGGGCCCTCTGTCCGCACCCTGTCCAGGATGTCTTCGCGCGCAGGTTCGAGCCGAACTTGATCGAACAACTGCGTTTCAGGTTCCACGCCCTGGCCACGGCGTGCATGGCCATGTCCTTTTGCACGTTGCCAATGACGGCCTTCGCATGTGCATGCGCCACTGAGGCCAACATCTCGTTCGGAAGCCCGCCGATCCACACCTTGCATGGATCTAAATCTGATTGGTCCTTGGCACGGGCGCCAGCAGATGTCGGCGCGCTGGAGGCCGATGCGGACGAACGAGACGATGGGGCAATCGACGACGGGAGTGGCATTGCCTTCCGCGTGGCATCGAGCTTCGCTTCGAGCCTGGCCCCCAGCTGCTCGAGCACCGCAGACGGCGGAGCTTTCTCAAACGCCTGGCGTACATGGCGCTCCTGGTGTTCCATCCTCTCGCTGATATTGGCGATAGCTTCGTCTTGCGCCTGGAGGGTCTGGCCGAGCTCGGTCTTGACGGCGATGGTTTCCTTCTTCCTGTCGGCCTCCATGCCTTTTTTATGAAATTCATCAGATCCGCTGGAGCCTGCTGCTGTATATCTTCATTGGGCGGCTCAACAATTCCGTGACCTTTGTTGTCGCCATCGGGATCGTCGGTGTTCTCCTCTTTCATCTCGCTACATGCAGCTGTGGGGGTGACGGGAGGTCGTCTTTGGCCATGTCTTGCTTCGGCGGCGGCTCGCGCTCCTGCAAAGGCACGGTGGGGGAGCCTGGATGAAGAGCGCCAACGAGCGGTGCTCCCACGGGGTCGATGTCATCTGGCCCCAGCACACCGTGGGCGTCGAGACAGCCCTAGGCCCCGACGTCGCCCATGCAGGAGTCCATGCTGGCCGCCGCTCCCTTTTCATTCACGGCGTCTTCTCCTCGTCCGAGTCGAAGACAACTAGCGTCTGAGGCTGTGGGCCACCAGGGTGGATTTCAGCAGCAACCGCAGCGCCACGCTTCCGTCGATGATCTGCCCACGGGTCCTTGGCGCCTAACCGGTCGTAGCCCTTGTCGTTGTGCCCTTTTGCCCTTGTCGTTCCAGTCCTTGCCGATCTTGCCGCCTTGCTTCCCCTGGCTGGCGTACACCTGCGTGGGCAGCATGGATTCTGGAGCAGAGCCGAAAGGCGATGACTCCCATCGCTGCTCTTCACCGCAGGTATCGGTGCTGTCTCTGCGGGGCTGACCATGGCGGGACTGACTGGTGTGACGCGCGTGGCGCCAAAGAGGGAGAGAAACTGGACCTGTCCGCCAGCGAACGACACGGTGGATCGTTCGCAAGAGAGCTGCCCACTCACATGGGACCTGATCCCACTTAAGCCACAATGGCAACGGAAGGGGGGAGGAGGAGGAGGAGGAGGAGGAGGAGGAGGAGGAGGAGGAGGAGGAGGAGGAGAAGGAGAAGGAGGATCGATCGAGCTGCCAGGCCGATCTCGGGGATACTGCGCATCGGCTGGTGCATGGTAGCGATCCGGACGAAGATCCAGAGCGGCCTAGCTGTGGCTCACTCTGTGGGAGGTCGCTCGCGCCAGGCCGAAACCCGCGCGGCCGTGCCAGGTTACTGCGCCAGACCCCAGGGCCCTGGCACGACTCACTGTGGCGGGCGCCAGCAGCTGGAGCCCCCCGAGGCCCGAGGGCCGGTGGGCTCCAGGCGATGGCGTCACCTGGAACCAGGCACGCTGAGCCCTCCCGGGGCCCTCTCCCCGCTCCCATCTGCTCTCCTCTCCCTCCCCGCCTCCTTCCCCCTCATCCACCTCCTCCGACTCCTTCGCCTCCGCCTTCGCCTCCACTTCCTCCTCCTCCTCCTTCTCGTCCTCGTCCTCGTCCTCCTCCTCCTCCTCCTCATCCTCCTCCTCTTCATCCTCGTCTCCCTCCTCCTCCTCCTCCTCCTCCTCCTCCTCCTCCTCCTCCTCCTCCTCCGCCCACTCCCCTCTCCTCCTCATCCCCTGAGGCAAAGCCATGAAATGAGCTCTGGCTTCTGCCACCGCTTGGACCGCTCAAACTCGAGCGTTCTCCACTGCCGAAGGTCGGCAGAGACTATCGGGGGCCATCGGTACCGAACGCCCGCGCCCCCGCTGCCGCCGATGCCGGCCTGACGGCACCCGCCTGCCATACCGTCACCGTGCTACAATGAGGCACGCTCAAAACGGAGCGAGGGAGCTTTTCTGGCTACGGCGTGCAGCGGCCACGAAGAGGTCCCCCGACCCTAGAACTGACGGAGCGGCCCGACATGCAGAGCCCCTCCCCCGAGCCCAGAGTGGCCACTACGTCGACGTGATGACTGCACCCCTGCTATCACTCCTTGCTCAGAAGCGCCCCCCTCACCCACCCGGGTGGCCGCCCAGCCAAGTCGATTGGCCCCACCCCACCACCACAGCCCCCGTCAACGACATCACGGAGTGCCTGCAGCGGCCCGCACGCCGAGTAGTGTGCCGACACAGCCACAATCATTGGCAACACCAATCGGAAAACAAAGGTGAAATACGCGTCTTGCCTCTCCCGGTTAGCAGCAGATTGCCAGGGCTTGGGCGACAGCAAGGCTCTGCATGACGCGTACCTGACCCATGCGCACCTGATGCACCTGTAAAATGACGGCGGGCTTGCCGAACTTATCGAATGTGGAGCATGTGGCTCGCCTGGGGTACACAGCGCCCATCTGTTTTATTGTCAGAGTCTGTTTTTCCAGGCACGTCCGAGGTGATGGCGAAGTCAGTGAGAACTGACAGATGGAGAGAGAGAGAGAGAGAGAGGAAAAAGAGAGAGAGAGAGAGATATAAGAAAGAGAGAGAGAGAGAGAGAACGACAGCGAAAGAGAGAGAACACTAAAAAACCACACCTGCCTCTGCTTCTTCGGTGACGGCGTCTACGACCAGCGAGACGACATTGCCATCGAGAACGGACTACCAGAGGGAAACAGCAGCCCTGAACATGGATCCGTGCCCGCCCAGGGCTGGTCGAACCGAGGGTAATGAGGTCGGTGCTGGAGGGTGCGCAGGGGCAGTTGCCAGAGCCTCTTGCCCATGATGGAGCCTCGTTCGACAAGTGCTCGGGGTGAGGCGTGAGCGATCACGTCGGCGCTTCCCCTGCAGAAAAAAACCATACCGACGGAACATCGAGCCATCCCACGCTGCGGGCATGCGCTTCGTGCAGGAAAATGGCTCCAGGGTGCTGGTGACACCTGAAAAAAACGCCAAACCCATTGCTAAGCAGAAGGGTCTGTGGGCGTGTGCTCGAAGACGCACGGTCATTCACCGTACTGCAGAGCCAAGGCGGGCTTGGGACGCCGCGGTGCAATCAACGCTGACGCTGAGAACTAAAACTTTCAGTGCACTCTCACGCAACTGGCGCGCTGCGAGAAAACAGGCTGCGCTCGGTGGCCCCGCCCCCCGAATTCTAGCCTCCTCCTGACCTCTGCATTCCCGTCGAGCTCCCTCCACCTCCTCCGCCCTTAGACTAAAAAAAACGCAGCGAGGCCGTGCTCAAAAAATGGCAGTGGGGTGGCCGCGCTGCCAGCTGAGAAGCCCCGTGTCCACCAACTTCCTCCACAATCAATCCAGAAACGGACCGCCCAGGAAGACCCCCTTCTGCTGGTTATGCGCGGTGTCATGGCACACCTGCCATTGCAAGCCATTCGTCTGTCACCCCCAAACATCTGGCGCTGCGAGAAAAATAAGGCGCGACGGGCGTCTTTGACGACTTCAGCGCTCAAGGGCTGGTTGCCTGCGCCAGGGCCGTTCACGAGCATTCTGGCCCGCAAGGGACAGCCCTTTACAGGAAAAACAGCCCGGGTCGGGCCGAGAGCTCGAGTGCCAGGGCACGCTTCGCAAATAAATTGCAACTTCGGAGGTTGACTATCAAACGAGCGAAACTGGGTACAGATTTGATTTTCTCATGGCAATAGGGATTATCCCGATACGGTCGTCCCCAAGATGGCCCAAGTTGGCCTCACGACTGCCTAAGATGCACCCAAGACGCCCCAGGAGGGCTCCAAGACGACCCCAAGAGCGCCCGAAGAGGCAATGGTCAATGATGTTGCTAGTGTTTTTGACAGATTTGGTTTTACCGCCTTTTCAAACTTCGGACTGCCCAGGACGGCCCAGGAGGCCTCCAAGATCGCCCTAAGCCAGCCCAAGAGGCTCCCAAGACGGCCCCAAGACGGCATAAGGGGCCCCAATACGGCCAAAGAGGCCGGCCCAGAGGGCTCCAGAGGCTCCCATGAGGGCCCCAAGAGGGGAAGACTCACAGACGTATCGAGCTTTCCCCGAGAACGGGCCCTACGGAGAGACAGCAGGCGTACGAGAAAGCCTCAAGAGGCCCCCAGGAGCCCAAAAGGATGCCCCACGGGGCCCCCAAGAGGCCCAGGGAGGTCCCAAGAATGCAGCCAAGAGGTCCCTGAGAGGCCTTCCAAGAGACCCCAAAAAGATTTCCAAAAATGCGTCTTGTCCGCGACCAAGTTTGGTCCCCACAGCGCCCCGAGAAGCCGTCGAGAGGCCTCCTCCTCCTCCTCCTCCTCCTCCTCGTCTTCCTCCTCCGCCTCCCGAATCGAGTCCCCTATCCTCCTTCTCGCCCGCCATGGGAACACCACAGTGGTGCAAAATGGGCAGGCGGAATGAGCGAAGCGATTGACAAACGACTACCCCGACACGGTCGTCCTCAAAACGGAATAGCTATTCCTTGAAGACTGCGCTGCAGAAGCGGTCGAACTACAAAATCTTGTTCTTTGGACCGGTCAACCCACTTCTGTCCAAAGCGGACTCTGTGAAGGCACTATACCTTAAAAGCGGCAGCTATAACATCACGCTGCGTTATATAATTGGCATCTGTGTGTAATCCCGCAAGCTCTTTTGGCGTATTAGTCTGACGATATGTTTCGCTCATCTTCCAAAACCTTCTTCCCTTCGGGGAGGGGCACCCGCTCCCTAACCTCCCTGAGGTCTCTCGGCGGGGGCCGCGATGTGTCAGAGGGATCTTTTTCGGCCAGGATGACTCCAAGAGGGCCTCCGATGCTCCAAGATGTCGTTCAAGGCGGCTCAAGATGTCCGAACATTGTCCAAGATAGCTTCCGACATATCTCCAAGAGGCCCGACGAGGGCCACAAGACGGTTCCAAGTGATCTCAGAGCCACCTCGGGCCACCCCCCCCGAGAAGCCAACATATTTCAAACACCGTACGAACAAAAGAATGGCGAGGCCTCAAGATTGTCCCAAGATGGCCCAAGAGAGCCCCGAGAGGGGCCCAAGAGGGTCCAAAAGGGGGTCCAAGAGTCCCCCAGACGGCTCCAAGAGCGCCCAAGATTGGCCCAAGAGCGCCCAAGAGCGCCCCACGAGGCGATGTTGTGATGGCCCCAGGGGGGGAGGCAACTCGGGGACCCCCATTCTTGATCCACAGCCTCCAAGATGGCCTCGAGAGGCCCTCCAGGGCTCCCAAGTTGGCCGCAAGAGGGGCCCCACGACGGCCCCAAATGCACCCAAAGGTCGCCCAAAGAGCGTCCCACGATGGCCTCAAGAGGCGGTGTGCCTCCTCCTCCTCCTCCTCCTCCTCCTCCTCCTCCTCCTCCTCCTCCTCCTCCTCCTCCTCCTCCTCCCCTCGCCCTCCCGCGGGCCCAAGGGATGCCCCGAAGAGGCCCTCCAAGGCCATGCCTTGCTCCCAGAGATCTCTCTGTTCACTCTGGTTGCCCGCTTTGTTTCACCAATTGTGTCTCTTCGTCCCTTTTCCCGTCAGCTCTCATGGAAGTCTGAACGGGCCGATGGGGATACGTGAAGCGTGAAGAGTCTAACTGATGTGAGGCATCTCCACGCTGTGTGTCGCCACAGATGTCACCAGCGACACCAGCAGGAGCCCAAGAAGCTACACTGACAATGCTTCCAAACGGGCTTGTGGAGAGCTCCGGCTCCATCCCGGCTCCGAGACGCTCCTCTGAAGCCAGCTGCCGCGCGAGCGAACAAACTCCGAGGCGCGTGGCAGCCTGAGCGCAAGGAGGAGGAAGCAGGCAGAGGAGGAAGCAGGCAGAGCAGGAGGGAGAGGAGACGGAGAGCACAGAGAGCCCAAGGCGCCGGGACATGCTGCGCTACCCAGCGGACATCATGCCAGCTGTGCCGAAATGCAGCGACAGTCTGCTTGCCATCGTTCCCGTGCGCTGCAGCAGCTTACCCTTGAGCCCAAAGTAGCCAGGGGTGCTGGGGGAATCGGGGGAAAACGGAGCTGTGTCCTGACTGCTGCCGCCAAGATTACAGTCGCCCTCGTTTCTGAGTATTCTCTGCATCTCGTACCTTCGGCGCTTCTGAGTATCCTGCAGTTCCTGGAGCTTCCGCAAAGTCTCCTGGAATGTATGTCGGTCGACGCGCAGCACCTCCGAACACTCCAGCGCCACCACGGTGTCTCGGCTCAGCGACACCTCCGTCCTCTCAAAAAGGCAGTGCTCGTCCACGACCGTCAGTCTGCCGAAGCAGAGATCAGACGACAGCGATACGCGCGTCAGCGCCCCCGCCGCACTGGAGCTGCTGCGGCGGCGATGGTGCGGGGGTGCAGGCGCGTAGACCTGCAGGCCGCCCCGCATGAGCACGTGCGCGGCGGTGGCCGGCTGGTCTTTCTCCGTGAGCTTGTCGCCTGGCAGGTAGTCCACGATCTCCGCGGCGTCGCAGACGTGCCGCAGGGCCGGGTCGATCCAGTCTTCGAGCCGCGGCAACATCCTGAGGTAGTGAATCTTGGTGGCCTGGCTCAGCTTCCGCTTCAGACCGTCGGGAAGGGCGTTCAGCAATCCGAGCTCCTTGGCGTGGAGCTTCCTCTTCTCGAACAGGTGTCTGAGGTACGCCTGCGTGCGCAGCTGCAGCTTAGTCCCGCATTTGATGGATCTGAGATGCATGCGGACGTACGCCATCTCCTCCTTGAATGCGTCACTGCGCGCACTGAACTTGAACCAAGCTTGCGTTATGCGGGTGACGTTGATGGCGAACGCCGCGACGGCGAAGAACATGAAGAGAAGGACGAACACCCTCTCTATCAAGTTCACGGGCGTTACCTCAGACGGCATCGTGCGCATCACCCCGAGGATCCAATAGAAACAAAAAACGTACTGCTCCGACACGGGCCTCTCTACCCACTTCCACTCTCCAAAATCGTCGTGCCTGCTGTGCTCGCGCGGCAACTCCGTCCAGTGGAGCGCCTCTGGGACGTCGTCCTGCATAGTCAGGAGCATCGCCAGGCTGCCCCTCCGGCCGACCATCCACCAGACGCAGGCGCCCCAATGGCATATCGTGGTCCAGACGCAGAGGACCCTCAGCATGGCAATCACGTTCAGGGCAGTGCTGGACCCGATCCGGCTTTCGAAGCGCTCCCAAATGACCGCCAGCTTGCAGAGGCGGAGCATCCTCATGAGCCGCAGGAGCCGCATCAGCTTGATGATCTTCGCGAGCTTTGTCACTTGGCCCGCCGAGGACGCATCCGTCTCATTGCTGGATTGGAAGGCATCAACGATGACGGACCAAGGCACAGTGCTCAGAAAGTCGATCCAGAACCATCTACGGAGGTAGTTGATTGCGATGCTGATCCTGTCGGTCACAAGAGTCCCCTCCTGCAGGTGCGCGTCGTTTTTGCCTGCGCGGTAGCCAGTGCAAAAATTCACCATCAGGTCGCACATGAAGGCGCCGACCGTGAGCCAGAGCCAGAGCGCGTCGAAGCCAGGGTCCGTGCCGAATTCGGCCAGCTGGAACGGGAGCACAACGCTGTCGCACATCACCAGGAGCATCACCATTAGGTCCCACGCTAGCCTCGCAGAGAAATCTGGGTTCAACACGCCGTCGATGCACAAGACGCCGCTCTTCCCGAACGATAGTGTTGATGACTGACCGCTCACGGTCGCCCCCATTGCGTGGCGGAGCACCTCATTCGGCACGCAGTGGTCGCCCAGGAGCAGAAACTCCGGCACCTCGGTCGCCGAGGTTCCGGTGCCGATCGACTCGCGGCCGAGCTCCTCCCCGAACGAGGAGCGACCAGTGCTCCGGCGAGCAGAGCTTCTTTTCTCAATGCTGGTTCGGCGAGCAGACGTGCTTCGGCGGGGAAGCCTGCACCTCTCGGAATGGCTGGCACTGCTGCTGCGGCTGGCGCTGCTGCCGCGGCTGCTTTTCGAGGCGCTGCGGCTGCGCACTGTGACTGCGGAGAGCCCCGAGACCCTTCTCGGGATCGGGCCGATGCTCTCCGTAGGCTTGGTGGTGCAACTCTGGCAAGCTTGGAAACATCTGTCGTTGCTTGAGGCTTTGGTCGACGTCCCAGGAGTCTCGGCATCGGGTTCGTCCGTCGTCGCTGGAGGTTGGCCACAGCCTGCAGCTGTGGCGGCGGCCACGATCAAATCGGATCGGAATTCCTCGATTGCGACGCTGAATTTGCCCATCGCTTCCTCTGCCACCTTCTTGAAGTCCGCGAGCGAGGAGGCCGGGTGCAGGTCGAGGGCGCTGCGCACGAAGTTCACCTGCAGGTCCAGCGAAGTGGTGAGGGCCTGGAGGTGCAGCTCGAAAGCCTCGGCCGTGGGGTGCTTCGCCGCCATGGCCCGCCCAGCCAGGGCAGCCCGGCAGCCCTCGGGGCGGCGGCGCGCGCCTGAGCGCGCGGTCGGCAGCGGCGGCGCGGCCTCGAGCCAACACGGTTACGGATGGCGCACACGGCGTCCATATTGAGAACGCGTGGCTGCCATTGAGATGATTGACGGTCGCATCCAGTGCTGCTTCTCGCTTGTGTGATGGGCGAGGGGGCGAGAGGGGGGGGGCGAGACTGCATGTGGCTTTCCACTCTTGAGAACGTAAACCCTCCCCCATCTCCTCACCCCTTTCTCTATCCTTTCCTTCCCCTCAACCCTTACCCTTCCGAGTCAACTTCTGGGAGGTCACAGTGGAATATACAAGGACTAACAAGCCAGATTGAAGGTAACTGAGCCGATCTAAATCAGATTAAGCCCAGGACTAAGCCAGATTAAGCGGGATCCGACCAGACTCAGCCAGACTTCCACCAAGGACAGACCAGCACCGATGCGGGATGACCCCCCACTGGGGATCCTCGCCGCCCGCCCACCCCCTCTCCCTCGCCTGGGCCAGACGATATGGAAAGTAGGAAAGGTAGCGTTCGCGAATTAACTCACGTCGCTGCTTTCCCTGGCGCCTCCCGGCGCCAGTGTACCGAGGATGGCGCCCAGCGGAGAGGCCGAAATCGGCTTAATGCAACACGCTTCATACACCACCCCTTTCCCAATCCCTCGATTTCGTCCGACCCAGCAAACTTACAGCAGACTCGTGTCTGCGACAACCCTGGCGTTGGTCTCTGACATCGCGTGGATCGTTCAGCCGTCAACGATCAGCGGCATTTCGATCGCCAGATCGTTCCTGATTGGCTGATTCTGGCCCGCTGGCGGCGTTCAACCTTGAGCGTCCGCGCCAGGGCCCTCGCCGCGTCGACACGGAACGAACCTGTCATACGACAGCCGAGCATATGATCAAGAAAATTGTTCCACTTAAGAAACCTGTCAACGCTGGAAGGCCAGCTGTGCGGCAAGCTGGTTAGGAAACGCTCTGGCCCAACCTTAATCAGATGCTCGCCTGCTCCCCAAACCTGTCGGCGAGCGGCCCTGCCGATGCGAGAGCAGCTCGCCCTGCCCCCTCAGCGCATGGCAGATCGGGCGCCCTGCCCAATAATTCCTCCACTGCCTGTCCAGCGTGCGGGTTGGGCGCTGCTCAGGCCGCGAATCATCAGCAGGGGGAGGGGGATCAACTGAGTTTTCTAATTCACTGGCAGCGCTCGTCGTGCTACGCTGGCTGGAGTCCGCACTAGTGGGCGGAGGCCGCAGGCCTCAGGCGATATTGGGAGCGGTGCGAATTCTCCAGCGGGTCAGGCTGGCCAAAAAACCGCGCGCTAGCAAAGACCGTAACGCTCGGGCAAGGCGGGAAGGGGGCCTGGACAAACAAAACCATCCCCACCCGCACCGAGGAAGCCTTGGCACCGCTGGCCGACCTGGGCCCCTGGCTAGGGATGGGTGCCGACTCCATCGTGTTTCGCAGAACCCATCCCTATCTCAGTCGGGGTTGGAACGTCAGAAAGCAACTCATGAGAGGTCCCCGCAAGAACGATTGAAGGGGACACTGTGCCAGATCAGGCCGGATAAGGCCAGGGAACAATCGGAATTGAGTGGGATTATACCCGATTCGGCCGCTTTTCGACACCAGGTGTATCAGCGCTGTTGCTGAATCGAACATCCCATGAGTTGCCTCCTAAGGGATAGTTCTGATGATGATGGGAGAGGGCCAGACGACAGGCGCAAGGAGAAGGAAGCATCTAACGAGCCACAGCAGCAAGCAAGCCAGGCGCACTGACGGTGCATCGGGCGGCGCCAGCCGATTCCAAAGTTGATCTAGTATGCCACCTCGCCGAGCAGTCCTGCTCAGGTCTCCTCCAATTCCATATCCTCCTCCTCCTCCACCACCTCCCGCCTCCTTTTCCTCCTCCTCCTCCTCCTCCTCCTCCTCCTTCTCCTCCTACTACTACTACTACTACTACTACTACTACGACTACTACGACTACTACGACTACTACGACTACTACTACTACTACTACTACTACTACTACTACTACTACTACTACTACTACGACTACTACTACTACTACTACTACTACTACTACTACTACTACTACTACTCCTACTACTCCTACTCCTACTCCTACTCCTACTCCTACTCCTACTCCTACTCCTACTCCTACTCCTACTCCTACTCCTACTCCTACTTCTTTCTTCTCAACTCCATCCCCCCTCCTCCTCCCCCTTCTCCTTATCCTCCTCCCTCCCTGCCTCCCTCTCTGCGATTGTAGGAATCAGTAGGCATAGTTAAGCATCCTCAGGAATCCGTAGGATTCCTTAGGATTCCATAGGAAGCCCTAGGAATCCCCAGGAATCCCTAGGAATCAGGATTCCTAAGATTTCCTAAGGATTCCTACGGATTCCTAAGGATGCCCAAGGATGCCTTAGGAATCTCTAGGATTCCTTAGGATTCCATTGAATCATAAGGCCAATGCCACTGCGACTGTCATTGCGAATGCGACTGCGACTGCGAGAACAGCAGAATTCTACAACTGGATTCTCACCTGAATCTTAAGGGTAATGCTTCCAGACATGCTTATACACATCGCTGTTAGGTTGCTTTGCCGGGATAATTTTGAACATTCCTCCTGTAGAGGGACACGCCCGACTGAACGCTCGTCGAACTCTTCGATGCCCAAGGCAGAAATGGCATCACGGCTCCACCAGGGCCCGGCTGGCCGTCGTGGAGAGGTGCGCCCGACCTGCGGCAGGTGCCCTCGCGGGAGGCGTGCAGGCCCTCGACACCGCCCGGCCATCTCCCGACGACCGCCCCGCCAGCCTCTCCACGGAGCGCCAGGGCGCCAGCCTTCGCGCCGCTGCCCTGGCAGAGCCCGCGGCCGCAGACACGGCGCCTCTCGCGGGCGAAGGACACGTCCGCATCCGCGGCCTCGCGGGCCAGGCCCCTGGGCCGCGCCCCCGCGGCCGCGGGGCACTCCTGCGCGGGTGCCCCAGGCGTTCACGCACCCGTGCGACCGCGCGTGCGCGGTCGCGCGAAGTCTGGACCGCGAGGGCGTGGACGTGGACGTGCTCCCAGCCCCCCGACGTCATGACTTTTGCACGGCGCGGCCTCCAGAGGTCCGGACCCCTTCCCCGGGACGGGCTCTGCGGATCCTGAGTCGTTTCTTGACGGCCCCGAGGGCCGGTCAGGGCCCCCGGAGGCCCATGTTTTGGGATTCTGTTCAAACAACCAAAAAACTTCCCGCTGTGTTTTCTTCGCAGCGCGAATGGGGTATGGGCTCGCCGCTCGCGCGCCTCCCCAGGAGGAGCGCGGCCGCCGGCAGGCGGCCGCTCCCGGCGAGGCCGCGCGCCGGCCCGGCGAGGCCGCGCGTCGGCCGGGCGAGCCGCCCACCGCCGACGCCGGCCTCCCCACGGCGGGCCGCGCTGCGGCGAGCGGCGCCCGCGGGGCGCCGTCCAGCCCGCCAGCGCTCGGCAGCGGCCCGCGGGCCTCCCCGCGGGCGCCGGCGAGGCCGGGCGGCCTGTCCGTCGCCGTCCCCGTGCGGGCCAGCAGCGGCTCCTCCAGCTGGCCGCTCGTAGGGGGCAGCGTCGCTCCCCGGATCCACGACGGCTCCATCTTCTCCACCACGGCGTAGGGGGCGCACCCGAAGCCGATGCACCACCGCAGGACGCCGAGCAGAGTCACGGTCGCCCAGGCTGCGTAGCCAACTGCCAGTTGGTCGACGCCAAAGCGGCCCCCCAGCAGCGACCCTGCGGCGTCCACCAGGCTGGAGCCGTGGACCTCCCAGCCGAGGAAGACCGCTGCGGAGCCCACCAGGAGGCCGCCGAAGACGGATCCGCAAACGACCAGGAAGATGCGGAACAGGACCGGGGGACCGAGGATACACGCGAGGCCCACGACAGCGGAGACGGCCGCCAGGCCTTTCTGGCACGGCAGCTCCCGCAGGCGCTCCTCCAGGCCGCCCCGCTCGGCCTGCAGGCGAGCGCGGGCGGAGGAGGCCTGGTGTACCGCCTCCCTGCGCGCGGCCTCTGCGGCGGCGGCCTCCTCATCGGCGATCTGCTCACGCTGATGGAGGAAGAAAAACTGCATGACAACAAAAACTGTCGGAGCTCCGCGCAGATTTCTTGGATCGGCGCTCGCTCCCCCATCCCTGGCGCGCGCGCGCGCATCCCTGGCGCGCGCTCGCGTAGCGCGCCAGGGGTGGCACCAGAGGCGCCGCCAGGGGCGTTCCAGCGCAGATCCAAGATATCCGCATGGAGCTCCGAAAGTTCGTGCTCTCGCAGTTCTGTCTCCCTCGAGCTGGATCGCCGCGTCCCTCTCATGCCGCAGCGCCACCTCCTGAGCCGCCGGCTCTGCGGCGCCGTGCTGGCCGCCACCCTCTGGCGCCGCACCGGCCCTGGTGTTGCTGGAGGGCCTCTGGGCGAGCGGTCCTACTGCGGAGCGTCGGGGGGGCGGCGCCCGGGGCGGCGGAGTACCCGGCCCGGTGTGCGCGCCGCGCAGCTGCAGGCGCACAGCGCCAGCAATGAGGCACAGCAGCACCACGACGGCGACGCTGAGGGCGGGCGGCAGCCGCAGGCGCGCTCCGCCCGCGCCCTGCGCACGGGCCTGCGCGGCCTTCGGCGGGCCTGCGCACAGCAGCTGCACGGCCACGCACACGGCCTGGAGGTCCCTGCCGCACCTGCCGGCCAGCCCGACGGCCTCCTGCAGCCCACGCTGCACCTCCGGCTCGAGCGGGCCCGACGCGCCGACGGCCCCCATCGCGGCGAGGACCGCGACGAGGACGGCCACGCCCAGCAGGGCCAGGAGGCACAGCGGGTGCGCGACCGCGAGGCAGGCGGCGACGCCGACGATCGGGAGCGCCAGCAGGGCCTTGGAGCTGGCGCCCGCCAGCTCCTGCTCGTAGTGCTGCCGGCGGGCCTCGACGCGGCCCTGCAGCGACTGCCGAAGGAGTGCGAGCCTCTCCTCCTGCTCCTGCCAGGGGAGCTCCAGCCGCCCGAGCTCCACGCGCAGCCGCTCCTCCGCCTCGCCGACCGCCTCGGCGCCGAGCTCCGAGAGCGCCTCGGGCCGGAAGACGCGGCCCCAGGGCAGCGCCTCCTCCAGCCTGCCCGCGCTCTCCCGCGCCAGCCTCTCCTGAATGGCCTCCTTGGCGGCCGCGATCTGGAGCTCGTTCTCCAGGGCCCTCCGCTCCAGCTGCTGCTGGAGGCGGCCCAGGAAGGCCGCGCGCTGCTGCTGCACGTCCTGGGGCCTCCAGCGCTCCAGCTCGGCGTCCAGCCGCTGCCCGAGCAGGCCGCGGAGCCGCTCGGCGACGGCCGCAAGCTCCGAGGGGCACCGGGCCCCGGCTCCACCCGCGAGCTCCGCGCGCGCCTCGGCCGCGAAGCGCTGCCACAGCGCCTCGCAGCTGGAGCTCGCCGCCAGCCGCAGCACGGCGTCGCCCGGCGCGACGGCGAGGCTCTCGCCGCTGCGGAGGGCGCCCAGCAGGCTGCGGACCCGCTCCGCGAAGTTCGCGGGCGTGAGGCCAACGCCCCAGGGCCGACGCTCCGTGGGGAAGCCGCCCCCGAAGAACCGCGACGCGAACCGGCCCACCAAGCACAGAAAGTCGCTGCCCACGTCGCCGAGGCCCCCTTCCCAACTCTGACTCTGCGCCTCCACCTTTCGAGAGAGAGAGAGATAAAGCAAAACTACATGAGCATAAACTTCGGAAGGTCCGCGCACATTTCTTGGAACGGCGCTGGACACCCCCCTGGCGCGCGTGGCGCGCGAAGAGCGGCGCCAGGAGCGCCGCAATGGGGGTCTAGCGCCGATCCAAAAAACTCCATGAGGACCTCCGAAAGTTGATGTCTATGCAGGTGTTCCTTCTTCGAACCTTGCTCCCCGGGTGCGGCAGGCAATAGCAGCTCGTGGAAGCGAACGACTCGCGCAAGGCCCGCATGCTGGCCTGCCACTCCTCCGAGAGGCCCGCGTCATCGGAGCACGTGGCGAACTCGTCGGCCATCTCTCGCTCGCAGTCCTGGAGGGTGGAAGCGTCCCTGAAGTGCTGATAGTCGCGAACGATCCATGCCAGGTCCCCAAACTTGACGCTCTGATCGCCAGCGGCGCGCGCGACGCCGACGAAGTTGCTCAGGAACAGCAGCCTGCCGACGTCGGAGTCGTCGATGCGGCCCTGGACGTTGTACATCAGCTTCGAGGCCAACACTGCGGTGAGGCCGAAAACGACTGCGCTGTGGCCGGTGGCCAGATGCCCGTCGTCCACTCCCTGGGTGTCCATGACCAGGACCACCGACCTCGGCTACACGCAAGAGCGACCCGAGGCAAGAGTGACCTTTGGTACGCTGCATCTGGGGCCCGCCAAGGGGCCAAAGCCAGGCACGCAAGCCGCTGCTATCGCATCGCACTCCGCGAATTTCGGCGATCGGGGGGGCCCCATTGGGCCCGCACCGGAGGTCACTCTGGTGAAAGGTCACTTCTACGCGTAGCCGCCGACCTCCCACCCCCCGGGGTCTGGAAGACCACCGGCTGGCTCCACATCCAGATGCCGAGCGTCACCGTCTTGCGGCCCTCCCTCGACGCGAACAGCAAGGGCCCCCGACTCGCCTTCCCGCCGCCGGTGGGCTTCGAGCCTGGCCATGGAGGCGGCGTGCAGGTCGCCGATCCGAGCGCCCAATCCTCGCGCGGCGGTTGGTCGGCGTTGCCCGCCGCCCTCCAGTTCAAATAACGGATCACCAAATTCATCAAGAAACTCTTGCCAGTGCGGCACTTGCCCATAATGGCGACAATCGACACATCCTGGACGCCGGCGGCCTCCAAATTACCCGCAATCCTGACCAAATTCTCCTCGACGGTAACGACGCTGCTCCTCCCCTCCGGCGACGCGCCAAGCTGCACAATCTGCAGCGGCTCGCCGGCGGGCGCCGCCGCGGCGCCCGCCGGCGCTGCGGTGGCTCCAGCTCGGGCCTCCCCTGCGTGCCAAGCCGCGTGCGGCGCGGGCGGCCCCGAGGGCGTCGAGGCTCCAGCGGCGGGCGGCTCCGTGGACGGCTCCGCGGTGGCGCCGCCAGGCCGCCTGCCCGACTGCGGGGGCGAGCACGCGGGCGACTCGTCCCCGCCGTGGGCGGGAGGCGCCGCCGACACGGCCGATGCGGCGCTCCCCCTCCTGCCCTCCTCCGTCGCCTGGGGCTCGGGGCCCAGCGACCGCGGGCTGCTCGGCGGCGTGTCGATCGCTATGACCGTCGGCCCGGTGTACATCGGCGTTGCGATCGAGACGGTCATCGGCCCTGCGCGCGGCGTCTTGCACGGTATGTGCGCGTTCGCCTCCATGACCGTCGGCCCGGCGTGCATCGGCGTTGCGATCGAGACGATCATCGGCCCTGTGCGCGGCGTCTTGCACGGCATGTGCGCGTTCGTCTCCGACAGTGGCGTTGCGATTGAGACGGTCATCGGCCCTGTGCGCGGCGTCTTGCACGGCATGTGCGCGTTCGTCTCCGACAGAGGCGTTGCGATTGAGACGGTCATCGGCCCTGTGCGCGGCGTCTTGCACGGCATGTGTGTGTTCGCCTCCGGGTTCTGCCCCGGCACTGGGGAAGTCATGGAGACGTCGCAGCCGCACCAGGGCGCTAAGGGAGAGCAGCCTACTCCAGAGCCCTCGCCTCGAGCCAAAGCTGCGAAGTCCACGCTCTTGGTGTTGGTAATTAATGGGTGGGCAGCGCGGCGTCACGAGTATAACCTCAGGGTTGTAACTGCTGGGCGGCACAACAAACCCAAGGATTGGCCTGGGCAGGTGGGCGCAAGAAACCTTGCCATTAGAAGTCTGGGGGCGAGCTCTTCTTTGACCCTGGGACTCTCTGAGGTGTCCCAACAGCTTCTCTGGATCCCCGGGATCATCGTGGGAGAACTTGAATGAAAAACACCGCCGGGCACGTGCTGGCAGGATGGTTTCTTATCTGGTGCGCCCACTGGAGTTGCGCAACTGACGCCCCCCGACTGGGGGGGGAACCGCTGGGCCGCGGCCAGGCCAGACTGCACCCACTGCTCGCGAGGAGGAGACGAGGAGAGCCAGCAAGAGGGGTGCGGAGGCACGGAGAGGCGCCTGCTCCTGCTTCTGCTCCTGCTTCTGCTCCTGCTCCTGCTCCTCGACCTCCTCCTCCTCCTCCTCCTCCTCCTCCTCCTCCTCCTGCTCCGCCTCCTCCTCCTGCTCCTCCGCCTGCTCCTCCTCCTCCTCCTCCTCCTCCTCCTCCTCCTCCTCCTCCTCCTCCTCCTCCTCCTCCTCCGCCTCCTCCTGCTCCTCCTCCTGCAGGACCACAGGGGCGCTCGCCATTGCAAGGGCACCTCCCGCAACAAAAACGCATTCCACCAGGCGAGGTCTTAGGAGAAGCGGACTTGGGACGGGTGGCCGTGTGACATCGCCGTTGATGCATCTTGGGTGCCTCCTCCTCCTCCTCCTCCTCCCTCCTCCTCCACCTCTCCCCTTCCTCCTCCTCCTCCTCCTCCCTCCTCCTCATCCTCCTCCTCCCTCCTCCTCCTCCTCCTCCTCCTCCTCCTCCTCCTCCTCCTCCTCCTCCTCCTCCTCCTCCTCCTCCTCCTCCTCCTCCTCCTCCTCCTCTCCCTCCTCCTCCTCCTCCTCCTCCTCCTCCTCCTCCTCCTCCTCCTCCTCCTCCTCCCTCAAGTAACATCTGGGCCCGAGCCATTTAGACACAGCGCCCAGCTCCCCCGCGCCTCCACGCGGTACTCGAGGGGTATCGCCGCAGCTGCGGATCCGCACGATCGCAGACCTCGGCGATAGCTAACGCTGGGGAGGATGACACGCAGACCATGGACCAGATGCCGCGGCTGCGGCACATGCGAATACAATAACCGACTGGATGCGACACGCCCGACCTATCCCAAGTGTGCTCGTCGTGTCCGCCCGCATCGCCCACGCTCCCAGTCACCGGGAGGACGGTCCGTGTCCTTCGGCACCGCGGAGATCGTCCACCTGGAGGACCCGTCGGCCACAGCGGGCAGCAGGCGCCGCAGTACATCCCGCCAACCGTCCACGGCCGTGGACCACCTCCAACGCGCCATGGCCAAGACGACGGACCCGCAGTTGAGGGCTGTTCTGCAGGCGCAGATCGCCAGGATCGTCGCCACGGCCGAAGAGGAGGCGGGCAAAACGCCCACCCCTGTAGAGGCCATGAAGCGCGCGGACGGCAACTACCGAGCTGCTGTCCACCGCCACAAGCAGCTGGTCGGCAACGTGGTGAAGCTCAGGGAGAACCTCGCCGCCGCCGAGACCAAGGAGCGGGAGGCGGCCCTCGAGGTCGCCCGCACGGAGGCGACCGAGAAGAAGGCCACCGCCGCGCTCGCCCAGGCCGAGGGCGCCGGCACCGTGGGCCCCGCGGAACAGAAGGACAGCCAGGCTGGTTCAGAAGGACCCGTCTTCTCGATGACTTGGGACGCTCAACTCTTCGAGGATATCGCGGACTTCGACTTCGAGGAGCAAGAGCGAGCTGAACTCACCTCCGTGTGGGCTGGACTCGAAGAACTACAGAAGCAATTCGACACGAAGGGGCCCCGAATCCAGCCGCTGATCAACCGTGCCGGCAGTACGCCAGCAGCAGGAGCAGCGCCTTCTCAAGAAGCGCAAGGGCACCGACGGCACGGCAGCCTACGCGCAGCAGGTGCCACCTGATGAAGGCACTGCAGCGCCGACGGCGCCTGGGCCCGCTCCCAGCGCTGACCCCCCCAACGGCGCCAGGAAGCGTCTAGAATTACAGCCTGAGTGCCTCCTCCATGCGCCCGAGGACTTTGTTATGCCTCCTCTTCCTCCTCTTCTTCCCTCCTCCTCCTGCCCCCCCCCCTTGACTCCGCATCCTTCAGCCCTCGTCCCTCGTCCGTCCTCCTCGTCCTCCTCCCCCTCCCCTCCGTCCCTTCCCCTCCCTCTTCCCTCCTCCCTCCTCCCTCCTCCCGCCTCCTCTTCCTTCTCTCCTCCCTTCCCCTCCTTGCCCCCCTCCTCCCCCGTTGCTGCCCCTCTTCCCCTCCCCCCCCGCCCACCCACCCGGGGACCTGCTGCGCACCGCGCCCCCGGCCCTCGCGTATTGCCGCCTCCAAGGGCGAGCGGCCGCACTCGTCCTCCCGCGCGGGGGACCACCACCCCGTGGCCGACTTTGGGGTCGTTCCCCGCCGCCTTCGTCGCCGGCATCGGCTCATACCCGCTGCGGTCGCCACTGTATCGTTCCTCCTCCTTTTCACCTCCAACTCCTCCTCCTCCACCTCCTCCTCCACCTCCTCCTCCTCCTCCTCCTTTTCCTCCTCCTCCTCCTCCTCCTCATCCTCCTCCTCCTTCTGCTCCTCCTTCTCCACCTCCTCCTCCTCCTCCTGTTCCTCCTCTTCCTCATCCTCCTCATCCTTTTTCCTCCTCCTCCTCCCCTCCTCCTCCTCCTCCTCTTCCTCCTCCCCTCTTCCTCTCGTTCTCCTCCTCCTCCTTTTCCTCCTCTGTCGTCCTGCCCCCCTTCTTCCTCCTCCTTCTCGTCCTCCTCCTCCACCTCCTCCACCTCCCCCTCCTCCTCCTCCTCCTCCTCCTCCTCCTCCTCCTCCTCCTCCTCCTCCTCCTCCTCCTCCTCCTCCTCCTCCTCCTCCCTCCTCCTCCTCCTCCTCCTCCTCCTCCTCCTCCTCCTCCTCAGCTCCTCCTCCTCCTCCTCCTCCTCCTCCTCCTCCTCCAGTCCTTCTGTAGCACCCCGAAATTTCGGATCAAAGGGGGCGGGCGCGGGGTGGGTCGCGGGTTAGTAACGTGTGGGTCGCGAGGTGGGTCGCGGGTGGGTCGCGGGTGAGTCGCGGGTGGGTCGCGAATGGGTCGCGGGTGTGTCGCGCGTGGGTCGCGGGTGGGTCGCGGGTGGGTCGCGGGTGGGTCGCGGGCGCAGGCGGGTCGCGAGCGGGTCGCGAACGTGGGGTGGGTCGCAGGTAGGTCGCGGGGTGGGTCGCGGGGTGGGTCGAGGCCGGGTCGCGGGTGGGTCGCGGGTGGGTCACGGGGTGGGTCTCGGGCCCGGCCGCGGGGCGGGACGACGACAACAAACAACAAACAACAACAAACAACAAGAAACAACAAAAAGCACCACCACCACCATCACCACAACAACAACAACGACAACCACAACAACATCGACAAACACAACAACAACAACAACAACAACAACAACAACAACAACAACAACAACAACAACAACACCAACAACAACAACAACAACAACGACGACGACAACAACAACACACAGTTTACCCTCATGCGCGATGTTCCCACACGAAGCATGCGACCATCATGATAACCATCCCCATCACGGGGGACTCTTGTTCAAAAGCGGGGTCCGTTATTCCCATTCCCAGATATCCCGCCCAATGAGGTCTTGCAAACACCTCCTCGGAGGAGCTTCAACACATCCCGCCACGAAAAGGCATGCCCGCGCGTTGCTGCGCCGATGCGAGACCGCCAGTGGAGCCCCAGCCAAGGATAAAGCTCAAGGAAGTATCGAGCGACAGGATTGCCTTGGTGGAGATGGGGTCTGTCGGCGGCGAGGCAAAGACCTGGCCCTGAATAGACATGGAGGAAGTCTCGAGCAGGGCCGCTGTTGTTGCTGGGGGCGGCGCCAATGCTGAAGAGAGTAGGGCGCTAGTCCAGCGTAAAACAAAACGTAGTCTCGAGCGGGAGCGCTGGTTTTGTCGGGACGGCGGTTTTCGGCGGCGAGGAACAGCACCGTCCTGAGGAAAAAAGGGAAGACATGTCGAGCGGGAGCGTTGTTGTTGCTGGGGGCGGCGCCGATGAGAGAAAGAGTAGCGCGCCAGTCCAAGGTAAAACGGGAGGAAGTCTCGAGCGGTAGCGCTGGTTTTATTGGGGCGGCGGCTTTCGGCGGCGAGCAAGAGCACCGGCCCTGAGCAAAAAAGGAGGAAGTCTCGAGCGGGAGCGTTGTTGTTGTTGTTGCTGTTGCTGTCGTTGTTGTTGTTGTTGTGGTTGTTGTTGTTGTTGTTGCTGATGTTGTTGTTGTTGTTGTTGTTGGTGTTGTTGTTGTTGGTGTTCTTGTTGTTCTTGTTGTTGTTGGTGTTGTTGTTGGTGTTGTTGTTGTTGTTGAACATTATTTATTCTAAAGAATAATTATTGTTGGGACCCCTGGTGCGCGACCCCCTCGCCGCGCCTAGGCCGCAGCTACATTTTCATCATTTTCGTGAGGAAGCCTCAGGTAATACGATGTCATCAAGATCCGGTTGTTTTGTTCCCCCCCGCTGTCCCTTGCAAAAAACACTATAAAATTAAATTTCTTGTTCTAAAATAACCAAACTTCAAGAATCCCTTGCAAAAAATAAGGTAAAGTGGACATTCGCGCGCGCAAGACGAAATCCTTCCAAAACCTTAGTGTTCGTAACGATTTCAACATAAAAACATCAAAAAACCAATGGTTTTTTTTTTAAAAAAAAAAAGTGTCACAATTTCATCCCGCGCGCTCTTGCGGATTTGCAGGAAACCCAACTTTTTTAAACATTTCTGTCAAACGGGCTTTTGCGATCAACTTCTTCACGTGCTTCGAACTTCTCCAACAACGGTTGCGCACCTGCCAGGGCCATCA